TCTTCATATGAAATAAATTCGAAGGCGAAATACGTCTCACAGCAACATTATTTGTTGAGATATGATAACATGCCTACGACATCCCACGAACATAAAAATAATGTGCGCTTATGTGGATAACATTTGTTGAGAGCTTTACATAACATATGCGAGCATAACAACAGGTACTTGTTGACAAAAATAAAAACAAAAAAGGTTACGAAAAAAAAGAAAGGAAAGGCTATATAGACAGATAAGTTAGTCATAATGTATTTTTTTTTTTTTTGCTTATCTTACCTGATCACGAACATCGTCATCAGCATCATCAAAGTGATTTGTTAAAAGAAGATCCTTGTCACGATAGGGATGTTGTACATCAAGTAAAATTGATGAATCGTCGAGATCACCGTCGACAAAAATGGTTTTCAATGTTGATGGTAACATAGTATTGAGTTAAACGAAGGCGCGTTAATAATAACAATTTCTAAAGTGAAAACTCAACAAGTCTGTTGTTGTTTCTTTCTGGTTATGGATGTTGTTGTTCCATTATGTTCTTTGGTTTGCGCATTGCGCCTTCATTCTATATATGTGTGTGTGCGTGTGTGTTGTTGTTGTTGTTGTCGACTCGAGCAGTAAACGAACAGTCGAAGAGAGAGAGAGAGAGAGACGAAGAAAAAAAAGAAGCAAAGAAAAGAAGAAGAACAAAGAGAAAGAGCTCTTTTTTTACATGCCAACGCCACTGACAACGATAGTCTGGTTTGTATTTTCTGCAACAAGAAAAAAAAGCGGGAGAGAAAGAGAGAGAAATAATAAATAAAAAAACTAGAGAAGTCAAGCAACAAAAAAAAAATAGAAGCAGGCGTGCGTGTGTGTATGTGTCAGTGTGGCTTCTTTCTTTCTTTTTCTTTTCTGTCGTTGCGTCTATGTTTTGTTTTACAAAAATATCACTCTATCTGAAAGTGAGAGAGAAAGAAAGAAAGAGTAGAATTATTAAATCCGTTGTTGGGTGATAGTGAACGAACATAAACGTTCTTTTCTTCTTCTTCTTATTCTCTTATATTTTTTTCAATATAAAGAGCATCGAAACTAAATTATGGCGACAAGTACATATGGATTACACTATCATCGAAGTGGTCGGTCAGCAGAGAAGAAAGAATAAGAAGAACAAAAAAAGAAAAATAAAATATAAAAAGAGCCGCAAGCTCAGAGAAAGGCAAATAAATGCAGGACATCATTGTTATGATTCATCTGGAATGCACATGTTTCTTATATGTGGGGAATAATGTTCGTATACCAATTTATTTCTTATTCGTTCATTAGACCTTATGACAAGATCGATATGTGCATACATGTTTATATTCATTTATTCTCTTGGATATTATTATTGATGATGGCAATCGTCTGATTACTAGCTAGTTGAATAGCCGTGCTTTTCTCCGATCCAACATGACATTTGCTGATAGAAGAATCGGAAACTACATCATAGTAATAAATTAGCAAGAGCGTTTCTAAGTATTTATGCGTATAGAAAGCAAGAACATAAACTACGATAAAAAAACATTCTTATAATGATTAGAAGTGTCCTTACATATGTGACGAATGTAGCCGAATATAGGCAACGAACAAAAATAAAACTAAATTATCGATACCAGATGATATTGTTTGTTCTTATTTGACTTATATACTAAAAATAAAGAATTTCATGTTAGAGAATCGTTAGGAAAAAGAAAATAAAAATAGAAACGATAGAAAATATTCTTATTCAACAAAAAAAAAGTGACAATGACGAAATCCGAATAGTAATGATCAAGAATAGCGTGATCTATATTTCTTTAATTTTCGAAAAACTTTAATTCTTCTTATATTGTAGTTAATTGATATTTCTTAATTGTATCCTTTCGTAGAAGTGTCGTAGACCACTCGAATATGCTACCATACTTATGTAAATAAACCTTAAGTAAATATTCGTTGATTTTTTCTTTAAAATTTATAATAGAATTTTGCAAACAGGCTTCACTCGCACGATTTGTTTGAATTAATTGACGAATTTATCTAAGTTTTGAAAGGTTCGCTGATACTTTATATAAGAATAATAAATTCAAGAATCATTTTAGAATTAGCGAAATTGTCTTGATGTATATTTTGTATTTTTTTTAAAATTTTGAATTTAAAATTTTTATCGAATAAGTAACCGATGACCTACAATAAGTAGTGTACTTTTATTTTTAATTTTCAAGGGATTAGACACTTGTTTTAAGTTTTTGTTTTGATCTCACTACATAGAGAATTTAATTGTCTACAAAACTATCGATTCTTTTTCATGGTAGCGTGAACTTTAAGAGATTAACACCTAGCAAATTGCTAACATATGAATTCTTGTTTTTCTAGAGATAAAAAAACCTGTGTGTGAATTTGTGTTCATCAAAGGTAATACTAAACGTGAAGTATTATACATCAAAAGATAAAATTTTTTATTCTATATGTTCACAATCTCATCATGGTTCCTAATACTTTCGTTCGGGAAAATAAAAGTTTTAACCAAACATCTTACCGTATTTTTGGATACATTATGAAATATAATGTTTACATAAGTCAAATTTCTACTATAAAATATTGGATCTTGTATGATCGGATATAGAATTTAATTCTGTGCATAATCGTATGGATGTTCATTTGAACAGCTGAAATATTTAGATTGTTTTATATCAATTTTAAAATAGCGATCTGGATCAGTCCGAATAAAGTTCTTTTTTCTACATTTTGACATTTTTCAATTCAAAATTTTACTTCTCAATTATTTTTTCGAAAACTCTAAAAATTACATCTAAAAGTATAAGTCAATCGATAGCGATGGCTGAAAATTTTTGATGCTTATTCAAAAAGTGTTCTTAGCTCCGTGAAATTCTGTAACGAAAAAAAAGGGCAAAATAATATTAGAGAACGTAATGATAAGAAAATAGAAACGATCATCTCTGAAAACTTTCAAAAATCTAATATGTCTTTTTATGATGCAATGGCAGCAGCGCGTGTGGACTGCTAGCGCATTAGCAACTAAGATATCTTAGAAATTGTGTGGTTCTTGGCGATGGCAGTCGATCGGCTTATACCTCTAGTTATATTAATAAGTGTTGAATATTTTAGCATGTTTTAAATTCTAACGAATCCATTCTTGAAAATACTCTATAATTTTTTCACTGTTTTAACTTTTGGATTCATGTGATTTAGTAGTTATTCACTTTGTTAAATTTACTCTGAGATGAGAAATTTATTAGAAAGAAAATTTCTCAGAAGATTAAATTTTCTATTCAATGAGATTAAAACCAAAATTTTAAATAATTGTTAAATCCTATAAAGATAGAAAATACAAGTGAACATTGAATTATGAGGTACCTATTATATTCAAAGAAAATAACTAATTTAGCATAAATCAACCAAGCAGTTTTTTGAGTTCGGATCAGATCGACAACGGACTCGAAAATTTGTTCCCATACAAGATTCTTATTCGTAAGAAATTCAATTTAATTTCAAATGAAAATTGAATATATATTCCAAATAAAATTTTCTGTTTGTATTTTATTATTATTATCAATTATCACATTTGAAATAGCATTAAAATTTAGCCAAAAAACAAAAAGCAAAAGCCTAGATAAACAAAAACAATAGTAATTTATACCAAAGCGAAAAAAGAAAACAAATATTGTATATTTATAGTACATATTTATTCTATAAAGAAAAAAACAAAACAGTTTACCTAAGAATATCTTATTATTTATTAACTATTAAGTGACAAATCTTAAATTGCCATAAACACGATCTAGGATTTTGTAAATTTACAAAAAGAATAAAAATAATTAAGAAATTAAAGTTTGGAATTATGTTTCGTATATTATAAATCTGTTATTAGGGATTACTAAAACAAAAATCTCAATACAGGGTAAGGATAATGTTTAAATAATTAGGCATTCAACGTAGTAAGTTGTTTGCTTTCCTACCAACTACAATAAAGCTTCTCTAATGTGGATACTATTGAGATTGGCCAAAAATTGCTCACTTTATGGAGATGCTCATTATTGGAAGCTTTTTAGTTTCTCTTTTTTTTTTCAACCTATAAGTATTCAGTTGCAATCATTTTTCAACTGCACAAAGCGATCTTTTTCTTTCTTTCTAACAATATATTAATTCAATTTTTTATCAGAGATAAATCTGTATGTGTTGACATTAGTTGTGTTACTAACTGTTAATACAAGAACGATGAGATGTTGCATCAGGCATTATTATTATGGTCTAATATTGTCTTTTCTATCTTCTTTTTTTAATATGTACGGTTAAGTGCATCTCTTTTTTTATACGTATCCCATGATTTTTTATTACAACGCAATAATACATAACATCGTTTTTTTTTCTCGTCTTATACATGAGTCATAGAACATGTGCTGCTCACAGTAGGGAGGTTGCTATTAATTATGGAACCAGAAATAAGCATCCATTAGGAGATACTCATATTTGAGAGACTTATTCTTAGCGAAATTCACTGAGACGGATTATAGAGAGCTTGTTTTCTTTCGAGTGATAATGAAAGATTTTCGTTTTTGTCAAAAAAACTAAAGCCCAAAAATCAACAATTAGATTGTTTATGGAAGATTGATTGCAATTTGTGATTTGTCACATTCATAGATTATTTGAAAAAAAAATAGATGAAGCATCGCCGAGAAAATAAAAAGCAAAGCAAAAAACACAATTTATCTAGAAAGATTCATCAATTTCAACAGTTATATAAAATAGTTAAGTTAATGAACAATAAGTATATGAACTATTTCTAATAAATTGAAATTCTTAGTAATTATAGAAAAGAAAGAAAAAACAATGCAAAGTTAATTCATAATGTTTAGTACACAACTATCTGTAATATTAAAAAAACAATGTTCGTTATTTTGTTCACCGGTCGATGTAGAAAATTTTAAAAAAACCAAAACAGAAATAACAAAATTTATAGGAAAAAAAACCGAGATTTTGTTTTAGCTTTAGAAACTTGTAGTAACATTAGGGTTAATATAAGAAAAACCACGAAATGTGTCTGGTGGTGTTGATAAAAGTAATACTTTATCCTTTTGTTCTAGCTCAGAAAGACGTAGTTCTTCACCATTTGGTTCAAATGATGTCAATGACTAAAATGTAAAAAAAAGAAAAAGTAACAAATAGATTAATCATATTGAGAAAGCAGTTCGACTTGATAATCTCTTATGTATATATTAGCTCTTATCATATGATAAATAGATCCATTAACGACATATCGATTATTCATTGATAAAAAGACAGCTTCAATATGTATGTAGAAGAAGCTGAAAAAGTTTGCTTAGTATCAAATAATAGACTTCTCTGAATTTAAATATTTCAAAAGTAGAAAAAATTTTCCGAATAGAAGACAAGACATCTTCTAAAAATATAGGATGTGTATTATAAGTTAACAAGATTGATCATATACGAGTCAAATGAACGCTCTCACTGCCAAACTAATTTATTTGAAAATAAGAACTATCCATAGTGTGCATAGACTAAGATATTCGAATTTCAAGGTATTCACAGTCTATATCATGTGATCACACTTTACAATTTTCAGCAACATTGATTTTACTTGTTTCATCATGGTTGTGTACAGCTCAGTGAGTAACATAAAAGAAAAAAAAATAATATCACGCATATTGAAAAGCAATTTTGCAAACAGACAGAATTTTGATGTCTATTACTCATATATTTAACAATAATAGTATCTTGGATTTTTTCATAAAATTACTTTTGATTATGTGTGATATTATTTTTTTTCTCTTATGCTATTCACCAAGCTCTATTCAACCATAACGAAAAACGAAAAATCAATATTACTAAAAATTTTGAAGTGTGACCATATGACATAGACTCTAAATACCTTGAAATTTGAATATCTCAGTCCGTATACGCTATGAGTAGTTCTTATCTTTAATTAATTAGTTTGCCAGTGAGAACGTTCATTTGATCCGTATATAACCAATCTTCTTAATTTACAGTACACGACCTTTCATTGTTAGATCATATATAAAAAAAAAAAACATGGCAATCGAAAAGAAAGTCTTCTTGAACAGAATTCGGTTAGAGTTTTGTTATAACATGTAATCGAGCTTCACATTTATAACTATTATTCACTTCAAAAAAGAATGAACTCGGTTGTTTGGTGGATAACTTGGAAATGCTAATAGCTATCAAGCTGAAGTTTTTCGCCGTTAGAAAGAGCATGAGTAAGGTTACAAGCCTATCTGAGAATCAAAATACTTGAAAAGTTTTCTAGAGGGATCCAGGAATTTTTTGAAAAATCACTGTTTGATTTGCTTGATTAGTTGTATTTTCAATTCCGATTTAGCCATATTGAAGTCCAATATCTACTTTATAAACTTCGAAATTTTTAGACGTTTTCAACCTTTCCTTAAAAACCATTGACTATTTTTACTGGATTTTCGATTCTTTCCTAGGTATTTAGTGGACAACGGAATTACAGAATTTCGACCTGAAAATTTGCCCATCGATAGGTCTAATGGCTCATAAAATATCCTAAAAGTTTTAGTCAAAAAGGATGTTCCTTTCTCGAGATATTGGATTTTCAATTTCACTTGAACATACAGGTAATCAAATGAATCACACAGCGATTTTTCAAAAAATCCCTGAAACTCCTAGAAAACTTTTCAAGTATTTTGATTGTCAGATAGACTTGTACTCCTACTCATGCCCTTTCTAACGGCGAAAACTCGAGCTGGATAGCTATCAGCGTTTCCGAGTTATTCAACAAACAATTGAGTCCATTCTTTTTTGAAATGAATAATATGTTCATCTGTGTTCAAATAAAGTGAATACAATAGATGCCAGTGAGGTAACTCCTGTTAAATCTCCTCTCCAGAATTTTAGCGATTTTACTAAAGTTTAAGCCTATATGGTACAATATAAACCAAGAAATTGAATGGTAATATTTTGACCTGATACTTTGCTCGCAAATAGATCTAGTTATGAGTAAAATTTTCTGAAAATTTCAGCCTAAAAGAATGTTTTCCTCACGAGATATTAAATTCTACCAAAACATGACATTCTCGCGCATCTTTCATGGAATATAAGTGATTTTTGCAGAAGTCCTCACTCACAAGTAGACCTATTTGCGAGCAAAATATCAGGAACTTTTTCTTATGAAGTTTTTTATACGTCATTGAGATCTACTTTATGCATAGAGTTCGAACTCTAAAGTGATTTATCAATTGAAACAGGACTCTGATAAGTTCACCAAGGCTTTCCTCTCGTCGATTTTTTATCAAAACCGACGGTTCGAACGGTTTTCTCGTTATTTTTAAATTTTACTGCTGAATTATTATTTTCAATTTTGAAAAAATTGATTGCAAGTCAAAAAAAGTTCATATTAATGCTCCACAATAATTTATGTCAGATGGCGCCACTAATTTTTCTCTTGATTAAGTGATCTAACGAATAACTATTTTTGTGGCACCATCTTTAATAAAAAAAATCAAACTCGAAAACTAAGTGAATTTTAGCTGTTGTGGCTGGTACCGACGGCTTCAGCGCACTCTCGTTTACAGTTAAACACAATTTCGATTAAAATCTAACAATTTTGTAAGAATTAAAAAATATTCATGCGGTGTGATACAAAAATGAATCATACAGGAGAACCGCCGGTTTTCGAGCGGTTTGAACGACATGGATTTGGATTTATAAGTCTCATATGGTATCTATAAGATTTTAGTGAAAACAATTATTTCAATCTTGTAGATTCGAATGACAAATCCGAATTTTATTCATTCAATTTTTTCTCACAAATATTTTTGTCAGATATTAAAAATTCATTATTTCGAATATACATACAGTTGGAGTCCATGGTGGAGGTACTCGTTGATGTTCAATATTATCCAACGTATATGGTGGACTAATAAATATAGAATAAAAAAGAAGAATTGTTTTTTGAATCAATATTAATTTCGATAATTTACCTAAAAAATGGTTGTTTATTTAATAATCCATGTGGTGAACGTTTATTTCCAAGACGACATTTTGGATCACGTTCAAGTAAACCAGATATAATCTGTTTAGCTTCTATTGGCATTGTTTCTGGATAACAAACATCTTTATAAAGCACATTATCTTCTATTTGAAGTTCTTCATCATCATAAAATGGTGTAATAAATGTAAATAATTCATATATCATTATACCTAATGACCACCAATCAACATTTTCATCATATTCACAATGTTTATAGATTTCATAAGCTATATATTCTGGTGTACCACAAAATGTTGTTGCTCGAGGATATTGATCAATATTCTTTTTACATAAACCAAAATCACCTAATTTTATATGACCATCTTGAAAAACAAGAACATTTTCTGGTTTAAGATCACGATAAATCTATATATATATATATATACATATATATACATTATTTAATAATAATAAGACTTTTTTTTAACATACAATTTGTATTGAATGAAGAAATGAAAGTGCACAAGCTATTTCACCCGCATGAAACACAATACGTTCATAACGAAATGGTCTTGGTGCTTGTTTTATAAGAATACGGTAAAAATTACCACCTCGAGCTACTTCCATTAAGAAAAAAAGTCTTTCAGCATTTTGATATGCATATATAAGCTGAACAATAAATGGATTTGATTGACTTTTTATTAATATATCTCTTTCTAACATAACATAAGATAAATCTTGACCTTCTAATACAACATTTTTACGGAGTACTTTCATTGCATAATAACTTCGAGCATATTGTATTAGATAAACCTATTTTAAAAGAAATTCTATTAAATATAGCATTGTTAATCAGCGGTAATTTTTGTATTTCGTATTTGTAAAATCACTTCAGATAAAGATATAATTATAAGGTTTTCGAAGATTTAGAAAAAAAAAGAAAACGTTCTAGTTGAATAGAATACGATTGATCACAGTCATCGTGTTTCAGTTTCCAAGATTCAATCATTTTCAAAGTTTTTTCGTTCGAAAAATTATTATGAAATTATGATAAATTTCTGAAATGTGACAAATCTGAGAGGAAATATTTTTGAATTCATTCGTAGTGCTACATTGACGAAGGAATCTCTTCAACTGTTACCTTCCGATTTCAATAATTTTTTTGCCTATAGGTACTACATAGTGTTCTAATAAAAACTCTGAAAGGATTTGAGTTTCTATGAATATTTGACTAAGCTATCAAAATTTTTTTCTAGAGATCCAGGGTTTTTGAAAAACTCATATCTTCGAATTTTCACAAAGTCTCTTCGACATATGAAGCTTTCGAATGTGCATGCTCTATACAAGACCCATGGAAAAGGGTCTATGTCTTGAAAGTCTCATATTTCGAAGAGATTTTGTTCGAAACTTGTGATTTTTTTTCTGAAAGCCAGCCTAGTTGAGTTCTCTATATGCACAGGGTTCAGATCAAAATTATTCTTAATGCATATGTTCAAAGATTATCATAAATTGAAAATCTAGATCACACCAAGTGAAATCAACAAAAAAGAAAGATAAACAATTATGCCATCATATGACTATATCATATAGATATTTTATTGTTCAGTCATGTCCCTTCTCTGTACAGTAAAACATGATAGAGCGTCATGTTTGATAGACAAGATTCTCATACTGATGTTCTATCTTGTAAAATAGATATCAAAGTAGTAGTTATCCTCTAATCTATTTATTTCACATGATATAAATATATTCTTAAATAATAATTTACTTAAAACACCAAGGTAAAGAAGATCTAATCTAACTGGATTGATTAAGATGAGTTTGATTTATTTGTCTAATAAATTCCATTGCTAACGAAATGTATTTCACTATTTGTGAATGGAGATGATATTAAATGAAATTTATCTAGCTATATATGTCAGATGAGAATTGAAAGTTTTCTTAGTGATTTTTGTTTTTGAAAATTATGACTAGATCAACTATTTGTTTACATCTATTAACTTCTAAATCCAAATATTAATCGAGTTAGCACAATTGTATCATTAATATCATTCTCCAATTCTCATCTACTTTCATTTGAATGTCGGAGATATCTTATTTAATTCCACTGAATGGATCAGTTCTTAAGCTTTTAATTTGACTCTCTGCAAAGCATATAAGACTACAGGACGTGCTCATATACTGTGTGTAGAGATATATGGGAGAGAAACTGCAAGAAAAAAGTTATTCCAACCGAAACTAAAGATTCTAGTTAAATATTCTATGGCTTCCAGCGAATTGTCTTATACATGAACACAATTCAGGAGAGATGACTCAAGAAAGTGCTAGTCGTCGATTAATTAAAATTAAAAAAAACGAGTATTGAAGGACTTTTTAAGACTGTGGTAAGAATAACTTCTGAAATAGTTTTCTCTAGGCCGGAACCAGATTAGACTTACCAAGGACATAATCGGAATCACTAGAAAGTAAATTACTGACGCTGTGACAAGCAGCTTCTGGAGTTTATTTTTTTATAAGTGTCGCTATACATCTTATCATAAAACAAAGAGAACTATGCTGAGAGCAGGTACTTGACTGAAAGTGAGAACAAGAGTGATACTTAAAGCGAAAGATCAGATGAAGGTAAGAGTTAATACTTCAGAATTATGTCCTTCTTGTGATGCAGTTCAAATGTATTATATGCTATCAATAGATAAATCCTTAAAAAAACAATTCCGATAATCTCTCATTGTAACAGGAGCTGGTGGAAAGAAAATTACCGAGACCGGGATCAAAAAAACTTGATCATGCACTATTCTTGCTTAATTTGTTAAGCAGCAGGACTGTACTGTTCTATGCTCAGCTTCAAGCAATTCTCATAGAAATTTCTTTTGATATTTAACATCGGCCTGTTTAAGGATAAAAACGTAAGACATGATTCAATAAATAATAATAAAAATCTCAATTCCATATTTCCTACAAAAACAAAGTCTATACAAGTTTTACTTTTATATTCAATTGTATAATTAAAATACAAACATTTTCTTTTTTCAAAAATCTAATAAAAACAAAATCTAAAACTACTCACCGATCCATTCATTCCTTGACCTAATGAACGTATTAATTTAAAATGATTAACATCAAATCCTGAAGTTATATTCGGTCGATAACATTTTGATATACGTTCAATAGCATTTTGTGTATCCTGTTGTTGATCAATATTATTAAGATTTGAATAAATCGTATATAAATCACCATTATATTGATAATTATAATCTGATTCATAATCATGCTAAAAATCAAAATTATGTTTTCGTTTTCAAAAACAAAATTCTCTTTTAATTTTTTGGTTTTGGTCAACATACATGTTCTTTCCATTTTGCATATAAAGCTAAAACATTTTCTTCACAACCACAATAATTACCTACTTTTGATATACAACGACGATGAATAGTCACTGCACAATCTAAATAAAATAAAACATTGATTAAAAATTAAACAAAAACAAAAAAAAACAAAATAATAATTCTTTCATACATGAACATTTTTGTGCATTACCAGGTCGAATAAAACTTCCACAATGATCACAAAATACTGGTTTTAAAGAAAATGGTTTTTGTTCAAAATGATGAGCCACATCAATTTTAAGCTAAATTGAAAAGATAAAAATTATCAAAATTGATTATCTAAGACAATAATCTTTACTTCAGTATATTTTTTTCCTTTACATGGACATGCAAATCGACTATAACAACCTTGATGTACAACACAATCACATCGTTGACATTGAAAACCTTGATAAGAAAATCCCCTTTAAAAAAAAACACAAGAAATCTATTTTGTTTTTTTGTTTCTATATCAACATATTTACCAAAGAAAATCTGAACAAACAGAGCAAAATGTTGGTAATTTAAATATTTTTGGTACAAATTCATGACCAAAATGTTTATAAACTTGTTGTCGTCGTTCAGCATAACGATTAGCAACTTGACTAATATTTCCATTGTAAATTGTTCGACCTAATGAATCTAAAACAATAAAGAAGAATTCATACAAAATTTCATTCTATTCATGAAAATATTCAATAAATCTACCTTTATGCTTAATAATTATGTCAGCTTGTGCTCGTGGTGTAAAGTGGAACTAAAGGAAAAATATAAAAATTTTCTATCGAAAAAGAATCAATAATCATATACTCGCTGTCGATGTCCATTAGCTAATTTTTTTAATGCATCTAAATCTGACTCATATGTATAAGTCTCATTATTTGCATGAATTCGTATAATCATTCGTCGTTTGATTTTATCTAGTAAACCAGCGTCAAATATTATACCTTGTTCTTTTTCATTATACATTGGAAATTTTATTCGTGCTGGTTCTTAAATAGAAAATAAACGAAATATTTATTTTAAAAAAACATATATATATATATATATATATATTTTCTTTCATTTAATTTTACTTTCAGTTTTATCTCGTGCAGGTCGATGTTTTTCTTTAAGTTCAATTTGTGTTTTAACATCTTTTAAATCAACATATTTATTATTATAAACTTGAAAACTTAATATAGTTAAACGTAAAAACGCATGTGGATTTTGAGTTAGATCTATAAATATTAAAAATATTTTTTAACATATGAAAAAATAATAATAAAAGAATTACTTGACTCATTGGAATCAGAAGGTAAACGAGTCGTATGTTTTTTTAATGCCATTATAACAAAGATGCTGTTCACGTTTACGTTTGATGTATACACCTGATAAATAATATCAGAACGAAAAGCACACGTAAAATGTTTTGTTGATGGTACCCGTCGGTAGTGACGCGTAGGTAAAAAAAAACATGTATATATATATGTAGACGTATTCAATGTTTTTTCTCCCGATCAATAACAGTTAACAACAAAACGTAAATGAGAAAAAAAAGAGGCCGACAAAGTCGTATATCGAACGCAAAAATAAATAGCCGGGTTTTTATAATAATAAATAATCAAGTATGCGCACATGTTTGAGAGACATAATAACAATAATATAAAGTAATAGAAATTTCAAGATCGATTATTTCTTGAAAGGTATGTAACTAGTCTTGTGATTAAAATATAATGAATTTAAAAACAAAAACCAATTGTCAATTTTTATTAACTGCAAATGTTGCATATTTAATTTGTTTGAAGTAGGCATGCACCGAACCCTGGAACACATCGGAAATCCCGGGTTCGGTCATTCCCGGACGTCGAGAGATTCCAATGTGTAATCGGTTTTTCGAAATTTTGAGGTTGATTTTTTCCATAAAAATTATTGTTTCTTTATTAAAAAATAGTTTTTTGCTGAAAAATGTTTTTTACACAAAAAATAATCTTTTAGCAAAAAAAATGAATTTTTTCTTAGAATACGATATTTTAGTAAAAAAATTCTTTTTGGAAAAAATCAAACTCAAAATTTCGAAAAATCAATTACAGAATCGGATTCCTCGATTCCGATTATCTTTGGCCAAATTTTATAAAAAATACTTTCCTTGACGAGAAAAACCAAACTCAACTGAGTCAACGATGTAGCGAATAATGCGATGAGCAACCATCACGCATACGAACTTTTCCTAGTATCGAGAATGATCAAACTCGGGAAGTTCGAGCTCGGTGCATGTCTAGTTTGGAGATGATTTTATTGAACATTTCAATTTATTTTCAATGAATACACAATGTCTTTTTAAATCCGATCAGAAAAAGACACAAATGGATCTTTAGTAGTTCAAACGATGAACATTTTTCTTTACAGTTTTATTCAATATACACATATAAGAATAAACTATAGAAGTGAAAATTAAAATAGTTTTATTGATAATCAAATTCCAATCAGTCACAATTGTATAACGAAAACTAAAAGTGAACTTTCAAAAAAAAAAACAAGATACATCAACTGAATATTAGACTTAGGGCCACATTCCAACGACTTTGTCACTCTTTATTGTAAAGCTGTTGAACAAAATCCATCTTGTATGATTTTAATAAGAGATTTTTCGTCATAATTCGATAAGTTGTTGTTTGTAGCACTGAACAAGTTTTTGTGATAGACCCAACAATTGATCCTAGCTCATATTCACAAGTTTTATTGATTATTCTCGAGCATTCATAATATGATCGGTGTTCGACAACACAACTTTTACAAAATCGTTGGAATATAGTCCAAATGTAATATCCAGTTGGTGTATTGCTTTTTCTTCCAAAGTTCACTTTTAGTTTTATAGTTGTGACTAATTTGAATATGATCATGACTAAAACTATTTTAATTCTGACTTCTATAGTTTATTATGAAATGCGTACACTGAATAAAACTGTAAAGAAAAATATAAATCGTTTGAACTACTGAAGATTTATTCATGTTTATTTTTCGATCGGACTTTTGAGACATTATGTATAGTTTTCTGATTGAGTTTTGCTGTAGAGTGGTTTTTAAAAAAGCCAAGATCCGTCGGTTTCTACATTTAAAAGTTATTATATGATTTAAAAACAATCTAGACAAAGAAAATTTATTATAGTCTCTTGATTAGATGTCTTAACATTCAAAATTTATCCAACATAATTTTAGTATAATCTTGTTCTAGTTTTTAGCATCATATTAATATTGTTTTTATGATAAAATTCATATAAAGCAATGCTTCTTTTTTTTTTTAATAAGTACAAGAATGCAGATGAATAAGATCCCTATAACATTGAAGTATAGAGGATGTCCCATGATAATTAAAGATAAATTGTTAACGACATTTTTCATACTTTTTCTTGACATGTAGAAGGTTGAAATTTATCACATATAATGAGTACCAAAATTATTCAACAAGATTTCTTTTCAATGCCTTGGCGTTATCATTAGCGTTAGAATGAATTCGAATAGAGAAAATAGTGTCCAAAAGGGGATATAAAGAAATAAAAGTTATTATCAGGTTCCCAAAGACAAGGCCGTACCGAATACCAAAAGGTTAGTTTTTCAATCCCTAGAACAAGTAAATATTATTTTGTTTAGACCACAAAGAACGATAGAGCAAATAATTCTCTACAAAACACGATGTCTCTGAATTCTCTGCAACGCTTTTTAGGTGAGATACAGCAATCATATGGAAGCCCCTAAAGTCATTTTTTTTTATCTTCAATCAAATTGCTGTATCTCAGACTAAAGAACTCGGCAATATCTCATTTTGTAGAGGACGGTTACTCTATCGTTCTATGTAGTCTAAACTAAAATATATTTACGTGCTCTAGATGTTGAAAAACTAGAGTTTTAGTTTTCTGAAGTTCCTATCTTTGTGAATTTGATAATCATTTTTATTTTCTTATATTCTTGTTGAAAATTATTATCTTCATTCGAATTCTTTCTAATGCTTACGGCAATGGAAAAAGATTCTAAATAAACCTTGTTGCATAATTTTCGTACTCATTATATATGTGATAAAAGTTTCAGCCTTCTATGTCAAGAGAAAATATGAAAAATGTTATTAATAATTTATCGTCAGTTATTATGGAACATCCTTTAAATTGATCGTGAAACGCTTTTGTTTAAATTTATCATCTAATAAATTTTATAATATAATCTCGTTGTATTAAAAAACAAAAAGTCTTTTTTATAATGATGTTGAATATGAACAATAAACGTTAAAAGAGAAAAAAAAAGAAAGAATATTAGAATTGAAATATTATTAAGTCTAATGCAGTAAGTGTGAGAATGACATAAGATAAATATATCATCTGTCGTCAAATAATAAACATAATTTATATTCTTTTTCTTTTGAGAGAACATTCTTATGAGACAAATTTAGAAATGCCAGCATTGTCGACAAGGAAAACATATTGCTGTTCGCGTGTAATAAACGTGATGATGAAGTGTAATATTTATTAATATGAATAGTATCTTTACTATAGCCAATGTATGATAAGAATACATAATTGCAACCAAAGAATCAAAAGATGAGTCATTTAATTTATTAGATATGTTTGGGTAGGCCGAGTCGTGTAGTACAATGTATTTTAGGTGATATATTGCGTTGATGTAAAAAATGTTGATATACGGTTATTATATTGAATTAGATAACAAAATAAATTTTATTGTAGGTTTGTTTTCTCAATTGACGTGTGAAGATAACATTTGTGTTATAAACTTCGAAATATTACGAAATAAAATTCATCTTTTAATCTCTTTAGCTGTAATTCTGTATTGTTAAGTATAATACTGTTGTTCGAATTTTTTCAGTTATGAAGAATTGGTACTATAAACTCTAATTCAATCCAACAATAGATTTCAATCAATATTTGGAATTTCAGAGAATTACATATTTCATTAATCTCAAGTTTAATTCCGATTGAAAAATAAATTGATTATTGTCTATTGTTATTCGATAACAATTGATTACGGAGATCTTTTTGCTTTTTTCAAAATTTCTTTAGTTTTACTTTTTCCAATAGAATTTAACAAAAATGATGCTCTAAAAGAATAAATCTTAATTTTTATCTGGTCGATTTAATGTCAAGATACATAATGAGTCCTTTGATAAATTCTAAAAACATAATAATTAAACAGTATTAATCAAAATTAGCAAAGAAATATACTGAGTGATGATTAAAATGTATTTCGAAATTCTACAAGCCATAAGGAATTACCAATCATGTGAGATTCTTCGCAATAAAATTCAACTGAACCATCACTTTCGCTTATCGAAAAATCTCCATCTCACTCATCATGTGCACAATGATCAGTGTACTATCGAACTAATTCCGCAAGCTTTGAAGATAGCACTTGGATGAACAGCCATGATGATCGAACTCTATGACGATTAAACAAGAAGCTTATCAGATAAACACTTTTATGAGATTCTTCAACGAATGCCTTCAAAGACTACTCTATTATTTTCGTATTTTTTTGCTTTTTTTGTGTTTGTTATTATACTTTTAATCTTCAATCAATACTGCAAATGTAAAGGTCTATCTCTTTAAATGAATTTTCAATTCCTTTTTTTTTTTTTTGAAGATTTGATTAATTAAGTATTTTACATAGATCGTTGTTGTTGATTCTGTTCCTTATTTCCATAATAATTTTTAAAATTGTTCACAAAATTACATACACGACAAGAAAGAAAAAACTAAAATATATAAATGAAAAATGATTGTTTTGTTTTATAAAAGAATTTTTATCGTTCAAGAATTGTTGTTGCACCACTTGTACAATTACGTTCTATGCGTTTTGTTCGACATTTAAACATTGTCAATACATAATCACGTAAACTTCTATTCATAAAACAATAAATAATTGGATTTAATGCATGTGTACATAAATATAAATAATAAATCATTAAAGGACTTTTTATGTAACGTTCAGCATTTAATATTGATGGTAAATAAAAAACAACAAATGAAACAGTTATTAATAAAAATGTTGATGCCATACGTATTTGTTTTAAACGATGTCGATAAAGTTGTCTTTTTAAAATAGCACTATTTGATATTAATGATCGTTGAGAATTAGAATTTGATAATGTTGATGGAAATATTGTTGTTACTTCATCTTCATTTGAATTTAACATTGATAATTGATGATCATTTGTTGACGAAGATTTTTTTACAAAACAACAACAACAATAATAAAACCATTGATGTAAATCAAATGTTGGTTGAATAAAATGAAATTTAATTAATAAATGTTGTGTTGTTGAACATGGACATGGAAGTTTATAATATTTTTCTGTATTTTGATTTAAATCATTATCAATGGAATTTGTTATAAAAGATAATTGTTGTTTTTCATCATCATCATCATTTTCAATTTGAAATGAAACTTGTTTAATATTTGAAAATTTTTCTATTGATGTTTGTAAATCATCGGATGGTGTTTCTGATGTACTTATTTGAAAATCATTTTTTGGTTCATTTGAAATATTTTGATCATTAAATATATCATTATTAATGAAATTTGACATAGTAGATTGTTGATTATCATCTGTTGATAAATTTTTTGATTCAATATTTAATGGTTTATTTTTTATTCGTGAATACATTACAGAATATGATGACATTATTGAATCATTACGTTGTTGTTGAAGATGACGATGATGATGATCATTATTTAATGGATGAGCATTGAATTTATTTAATACATTTAAACTTTTTTTTAAAGCACGTATACGAGGATTTTGTCGTTGTAGAGCAAGTACAAATGTTATTGTATACAATATAGTGACAATACCAATTGAAATAAAAAAAAATTTATTTGATATATGTCGTAAAATTTCTCGTGTTGTTTCAGATATAATTGATGTATCAGCAAAACATCTTCCACGAGTTGATATATATGATAAACTAATATTTGTTATATTGGCACCAAAAGGTATAGATATTTGTTCATATATACTATCATATAAATCATAGGTTAATGAATTTTTTTGTGCAAGTGTTATTGATATTTCATAAGAATCAACTTTTGATATATATGGTTCATCGGGTAAAATTAAAGTATAATTAGCAAGATAAAATTCTCGATATGGTGCAGAAGAAAATGCTAAAGCTGTTAATATACCCAATCCAATGCCAATTAAAATAAATAATGTCAGCAAAAACTAGAAAAGAAAATAAAGGATATAATTATTTTGTATTTTTATTGAATATGTATATTTATTTGAACAATATTCAATGTAATTAGTAATCTATGTTATGAAAGTCTTATCATAAAGTCTTCACTCATTGTTCAGCCACTTAAAACTAGCGCTGATTAGAGCTAGAAGTAATTAGTGTGACTTAGACTTTCTCGCACTTTTTGAATATATGTTAAGAATTTCCTATTGAAGTAAGATTGAACAACTATTGTTAGATTGTTTCAAAAAGTCCGCAATAGTAATTGTATACAAGACTATTTTAGGCTCCAGAAGCTATTTTGTTAACAATACCATTTTAAAGAGCATAATATGAGAGGTCGCCGCATTTTCCACGATTTTGTCATAAAAAGTTAAAAACATCACAAAATCTATCGAAGAATCGACTAAAAACCGTCTTTTTCCATTTTTATGATACTTTTAACTTTTTAAGGAAATGCGGTGATATCTCATTTTATACTCTTTTAAATGGCATTATTTAAAAAAAGCTTTAGAGCATAAAAACTACTGTGTCCGGTTTTTTAGAAACCTTGCCATCATTGTTCATCTAGTATAGAATGCATTAGAGACAACACTCTATTGGCCATTAAAATCAGTATCTGTATTTGAACTCGATGCTTAGCATCTTAGAAAAAAAAAAGAACGTTGTTATTAAAATTTTTTCCATCATCTTATATTCAGAAATAGCAAAAAATTCTGATACTAACTAACTGCTTCTAGTTTTAACCAGTTATTTGTTTTTAGTGACCGAAAAAATGAGTGAATATTTTATGCTAAGACTTGATAAAACTTTGTTGAACATTGTCTATGTTAAATATCAGTATCTACAGATGGAATAGTACAACAATTCGTCAGTTCAATCTTGGTATGGATTTCAAACTGATCAGTCTACCTGTGATCGATTATCTTGTTAGAAATTCTTCATAAAATCAATTAATAAAAATTGTATTTCAATGATTGATTTAGTTTCTATCGATGATAATTAGTTTCAAATATTTGAATATTAAATGTCTGATAGATATATTAAATTAGAATCGTAAGAAATTGAAAAAATATTGTTTTTCTTCAAAATAAATATTTTAATGCTGATATGAAAATATTCAACCAATAAAACATTTGCGTACAAAAAACATTGCATGATAATTATGAGTTCTTGGTAATTCTTACAAAATAAAACCTAATTCGATATCTGTTCTTCTATTAAAAACATTCTTATAAACTTTGATTATTAATCATAATGAATAATAACATTCCAAAGATTTTGCAAGTGTTCTCCAGATGATTTCAAACTAGATATCTTCTATAAGTTCTTGAAATTCTTTTTTTTTTATTTTCAGAAAATAAACCAAATCAGGTTTAGAATATTTGTCAAATATAATTCTTTGCTGATTAAAATATTCAATCATCGAAAAACTAAAATAATCTCATATTCATATGACCATTATATAATTTATGAAAATCACATGCTAATGAAAATATATTTATTCAATAGAACGAATTATTATGTAAAATAAAATTTCCATACTGTAGAAAACAATAATCGATAATGCAGACAAAAATTCCTAAATCTTCCTAATGAGATATTTGAAGCTTGACAATAATCGAAATATGAATACTGTCACAATGTTTGCCATATTTGGATCAAATAAGTCTGTGGTGACATAATAAATAGATTTTCATATGCAAAGTATTTACAAAATATTAGAAAAAAACAACAGCATATGGCAATGAAAATAGACAAATGTTTGATAGATTTTTCTTTATGAATGATCTCATAATTAATATGACCTTTTTTTTTCATCGTCAAACGAATTCTTTTCAACAGAAAAAAGTTAAAAAAAAAACCAGAAATTGATCGATCGTCGATTACATGTTGAATTCCAACATATTGTTCAAATTATAATCTCATCAGTATACTAAACTATCTATCACAAAAAAATTGTATAGAAAAATTTTTTAAACAAACTTTAATCTTTCTATGAATTTTATTAAAGATGTTTTTTTTAAATGAAGAAATATATTGACAAAAAATTTAATAAATAATGACGAAAAAAGACAACTTCGTTCTTTTTTTATCACATGTTAAAAACATTTATTAAATAAATAAACTTTCTGTCAGGAATCAAAACAATTAATGTATATCATACATACGCTCAGTTTCAATTACGTGCTTAAAGGATATTTATAACTAAGAAATATAACAAATCTATTTAATTCACTCTCAAAACTATATTAATATAAATAGTTCAAGCAAACCAAATTATTTTATCATGACCTGACTATTTTTTAATAAGGATTTCATGAGTAAGTTGCTAGAATAACTGCTTTCATTAAGAAACAATATAATGAATGAATGAATGAATCAGCAAGAAAAATAGATGAAGTCAACCACAATAATCGATAACGAAGAATACAATAAATTAGAATATGTGTCGAAATCATCCAACTGTGCACGATTTCTGTGACCTATGAGTCGATCATCTCTATGCATAAACTTAATAAGTAAAACAATGTTAACAACTCATAGTTATTAAAAGATGTTTCATATAATGTCGTGAATAGAATATACAAAACACAAAACGATCAACTATCTCGTCCAAAAGTATTGCAGTGTGGATTTTTATTGATGAACTGTTATTACTCTGTATGAAAAGAGATTCAAGACGACCTAGACAGGATATTATAAAATCTGTAATTTTCTTTCTAAATTTATCTTATGTATTTTAGTAGGGTATATTATAATAAGAAAAGAATTTTACAAATAAAACATGCCTCGATTAAGTATAATTAAGAGATAAAGTCATGTTTTTAAATTTTTCTAATTTGCAATAATCTTAAAATATCGTTATTTGACGAAAAAGAAGTATATTATAATAAATCATGCAAAAAAAACTCTTTTTTTCAATGCAAACTACATCAAATAATACTAATGAGAAAGTTGATTTCTTACAAAGACGAGTATTGTTCACATGCATGTCTATAAGAACTATCGAATATAATAATAGAGATGCTAACAGTAAAGCTTTTAATTAAGAAAAAGTAGGACAACAAAGCTTATTTTAGATTTACCGGAAGGTTAAAAAAAACATCTTTTTTCCTACTCACTTTGACACGACAAGGATTGAGTAATCGATGATGTGGAGCAAAAATATTTAAAAATCTATCCAATGCAATAAATGACATAATTAATGATGAAATAATAATAAGAATTTTTGAAAATGAATAAAATCGACAAAGTGGTGTTGGTACTTCAAATTCACGATGTTCCATTATAGCAATAGTTGGTACAACAATAAGACATGTCCATAAATCAACACAAGCAAGAATAAGTATAAATATAACTGATGTTGATTTTGATGAATTCCAACGATTTCCATAAGCTAATAAAATAATTCCATTGCCAAGTGTGCCTATCAGTGACACAAGAGCAAAATAAATCATAAGACTAATATTTGTTAATGTAAACATTGTTAACATTTTCTTTTAAAAATACATCTAAAAAATTATTGAAAATATATGTTTTTCTAAGTCGCATTTGATACTATTATGAATATTTCTTTAGTCTTTCTCTTCTTTCTCTTTATTTTTTTGTCATTATTCACTAGAAAAAGTAATCGAAGAATAACATAGTTTTTTTTGTCTAGATGAATGAAGAACAAAAAATAATCATTTCAACATAAGAAATCAATGATAGGACAAACAAGATGAGGAATAAGAAAACTATGTTCATAATAAATTTTCTATTCTCATTGACTTATTAATATAGAGTTGTTATATACTAAATTATTTACTTAAAACAAATAATGATTGACACTGTTCCAAGTATAAATTTAATTTTCATTATACCTTTGTTTCTTCGTCGAATTTTTGTAAAACACCAGATTTATAACACATAATTTGTCAAATTGAAAAAATTGTTTGTAAATAAAATGGCATGCTGAATTTTTATTCGTACACTATTCAATTAGTAATTATCAAACAGTGTACAAAAAAATATTTTAGGAAAGTGATAGTCTCACACACACACACACATATGTAAGAAGCCAATTGAATCAAGTAAGATTAATGAGAAGAGAAAAGAATATGATTAAGCACATGTCGTCCTCAATAAGAAATATATTTTAATAGAAGTATAGTGATGAATACTTCCATTAAAAAAAATCGATTATCTGTGGATAAGATAACCGAAAAATATAATTAGTACTGTCATCGAAAACGCACGGGTACATTCACGAACACGGAATGAGGGAGAATACGTCTTTATGATTGAGATATGATAGAACTAGATGTTCAACTTATTCTTTCGAATAGATCGAAATATTTCTCATGGGTATTTTACATTACCAAGAGTGTTATTGCAATATAGAACATTAAGAAATGTGACAACTTTTATCGTTGCTAACAACAGCAAACTAGTAATTAGATAAGGAGAAATGAGAAGCCAATGAAAAAAATATTCCTTTTTTTTTATCATGCTGCATCCCATTACATTTAGGTTTAAATCTAAATAGATTCTTTTCATTCGTCTGACGCATTATTCAATTAAAAATAAGAATATATTCGAAGAGAAATTTTTCTCAATAAAATTATGCTTTAATATGAATGCAAAAGAATTTTTTTTTTTTTTATTTGTTTTATATTTGAACAACGAAGCAGCTAATTACTTAAAAGAAATAGCGTAAAATATAATAATGAAAAACACAAAAGTTATTCATAAAAAATACTGAATTCAAAGGAAATGTAGTTTTCAAAAGAATAGAAAAGCAAACTGAATAGTATAAAAAGAAATAGAAATCACTGATAATTCAAGACAGTTCAGCCTTTTCTTTTTGTTACCTTTTATAGTGATAATTGAAATAGCCATTGAAGAACTAAGAAAATGCAAGTGAAAGAAAGAAAAATACCAGTATTTCCTATGGGAACGATAGCATAACTACTCGAGTGTTAGGTTGCTTCAGAGAAAAAGGACAAGACAAAAGTATAGACGTAAATATTATACGTGCTCTGAAAGATAAAAAAATTGTTACGAGTTTATTTTCATTAAGATAAATGTGTATATATATATATGATACTAATGTACATATGTGAATTCTTACATGTTTAGTACTCTTATAGCAAATAGTCTGCTTTCTTCGTTATAAATAAGGAACAATTTTTTTTTTCTAAATAAAATTACACTTTAGAAATTGATAAAATGATACTGTAGTTTTATATGTGATAGCATCTAATTAGCAATAATAGAGCAATGCTATCAACATACAATAAGACTCAATGTAATTTTGTCTGAAAAATAAGATAAAAGTCATGTTTTCTTCTAAATTTCTTAAAATCAGGTCAGATCAGGTTAGGTCAAAGACGACGACTTGAAAATCGAAAACAACTATAATCTCCGCAATGTTTAGATGATTCTTGAAACTCATCAGTTATTACTATAATAATAATTCTTATACTGTTTTTTCCTATCTCATTATCTTCTCAATTGATTTTCTCCATAGTCATTTTCGTCCTTAACTATCCTTCATGCTCTTTACTTGTCTATTTTTGATTTTCTTTTTTTTTCTTTTCATCAAATTTTTCTTTTCGTTAAAGACATGATAGTTATCATGTCTTTAAGAAAATCATAAACTGAAATTTACAAAAAAATAAACATATTTAGACACGATTAACTTCATTATACTAATAACATATTAATTATCTATAGACTGACTATTCAGTTCCAAAGAAATCATATGATTCCTCGAAAAGAAAAGCACTCATTACATCTGTATTAATGATAAAGCTATCAAAAACCGTACTCATATCTATCTTTCTGTTATTTTGTCCTATATCAAAATACTTGTATTACTAGAAGTTAATAAAATTACATAATAGGTTACTTAAAGTTTATTTTAATTTCGCTTATGAAAAAGAATTTTTAAACTGTATAAGTGCTTTTGACCTTGTCTGTTTTCAGTAGAAATAAAAAAAGAAGCTGAAGGTTAAATCGACGTACGTTTGTATCAAATAACAACCAAATTGATCATTAACTTAATAGAATACATAAACAAATAAATAAATATTACGTCTTTCTAACAATATATTTTTAAATTGTATCTGTTTTTTTGTTGTCTATTAAATAACTGCTTTATATGGAATACATCCATATAAATAGAAGACTTTCTTTCTTCTATATAATTCTAATAATAGCGTTCCAAGAAAATAAGAGCTATCATAAAATATTCTAGATATTTCTAATCGCTATACTTAGCTTGTTTACAAGAAGAAAAAGAAAAATATATATTGGAACATTTGTTCAGCATCAAGACAAAACAATAAAAATAAAAAGTAATAACAAGATCATAGAGATTTGTTTTCATTCATCACAAAAGCTTTTTTTTCCTTCTGTCTAATTCTCTTGAAATATAAATAGTATGTTATCATATGATAAATTTCAATTTAATGTGAATTTTAACAAGGTCATCGTATCAAATAAATCAATTAGCACAACGTCTCTGCAATATGTCAAAAAAGAAACAAAACATGAACAATAACAAATCATTTGAGTATTTTGTTTACCACGAATAAAAGCATCTAGGACTTACCCTTCGATACTATCATGTATATTCTCCTATGCACATCTTTTCACAAATCATTCATAAATCTATAGACAGAAAGACGACAGACACTGTCTTTCAACATTGAGTAGTGATAGGACTTTTTATTAGTTGCTTATAATGATAGAAAAAAGTATCTACCATCACGTGTCCGATTCAACTAATTGTATATTTTTTTCCGATATAATTATTTCCTCGATTTTCGCCTTCTTCTTCTCTCTCCCTTTCTCTTTCTCTCTCTGTCGTATTTTATATGATGAATACAACGAGTAACATCTGCTATGCTAACTTTCGTCACTAACAGTTATTCTTTCCTTTGTCTTTTTTTGTTGTTATATAAAGAAAAAGTGCACCGAAAAAAGAACTCTAAATTATTTAAGAAATATTTGATATCGAACATTCAAGTTAGAATAAAAAAAAACGAAAGAAAATAATTTTTTCCCCAATGTGAATAAATTTAAATAATAAAAGAATATAGAAACCGACTTGAATAATTTAGATGCTAAGAGATAAGGAAATGAACTCTTTTGACAAAGTGATGACAGATTCATGCAAAATCAACAAGATGCAAAAAAATGATATTGTATGCAACATGTATTTATATCCAGATAAACATAATTATAAAAAATTTATTATCTTTTATTCAAGTTCTATCATTTTAATAAAATATCATATGTTATAATATTTCTTTTATTAGTTGCTTTAAACATTTATAATTGCGAGATTATTTCCATTTTTCTTACACGCGATTAATGTAGATTGTTAAAATGATAATTGTATGCATTCATTCTTTAAAATATATTTAGCATAGGATAATTGAAAAGAAAGAAGTCCAAAGGAAACATTTTAAAAACAAAAAACAAAAAACAAAACAAAACAAAACACAGAAATCTACTTATATTAAAATGTACTAATTACTAGAATCACATATTGTACGGGACGATAAGAAAAGTTATTCAATCATTAAATTTTTCATATGGATATTTGTTTCTTTTCTTTGATAAAATTGGCATCTATCCAAAAATCTATATGTTACGTTGAAACATAGTCATATTTAATCATTATACGAACAATTAAATCATTATTAAATTATAACTATGTGGACAATGATATATAGCTTATATGTTTTTCTTGCTCTTTCTCATGAATCAAGTTTTTATCTTATATATCAACAAAAGTACATTAAGATTAATCTTTATTTCTTTCTACAAAATACTGGGGAATCATAATTTAATAATAATAAAAAAAGATACCCTTGAATTCATATGATAATAATCATTATATCACTGTATTTATTTATTTATTTTCTTTTTTTTTGTTGAACAACTAGACTAGAAGCAAAATAACGAGAAAAAAAATCGATAGACATGAAATAACAAGACAATTATTTTTTTCTAAAGATAAGTTGATTCTCCAATAAATCGTACACCATGTTCGGCAATGGGCACAAATTTATCATATTTATCTATATGAACAAGTAATATACATTTATCAATATGAGATCGTTGTCGAGCATCACGATGTCTTGGTATCCAACGATGAACAACAAGACCAGTCATGCCTACACTTGGCATCCAACCAGACCAAACATTACGACCACCATTTAATCGCATTTGTTCATTTGGCCAAATAACATCTATTCGACGACCCAAATTGATCGAATCATAAATCTATATAAGACAGATAAAATTAATCAAATAGAAAATCAACAAGATTAAATACTTGACTAAAATCATACTAAAAAAGAAAACGTTTATCATTAAATGTAAATTTATTTTTATTTCAAATGATCTTTTAAGTCTTAAGTAATATAATCAAAATATAATAGTACATTAATTTTAAATGAGAACATTTTACTTTCACGTTGTAAATAATATATAAAGACATATCTTATAATAGGTATCAAGTATAGACGAAATGGTAAATATTTAAACTCTTTCTATTATCTACTATGACAGACATACAATGGCTTACACAATTATTTCATACACACCCAATTACAATTCTGTTTGAGTTACGTAGAATTCTGAAAAAATGAAACGTCTTCCAGCTGTCTACAATGTTATTTTCGACCAAGATATATGAGCCTTACGGCAGACACAAAAGTCGTATTTTTCTTTTAATTGGTGTGGAAACATTACTGTTGTATCTTTCGTAAGGCTCATGTATCTTGGTCGAAAAATAACATTGTAGACAGCTGGAAGACGTTTCATTTTATAGAAAACTGTTTTCTCTATAATTTTAAATAACTCAAATACAATTCTAATTGTAAATTCTAGAAGTTGAAATATTTGATTTTTCAGAGATCCTATTTTCAGGAAACTAGCAATCATTTTTATCTTGATTGAAAATAAAATTCTCTTTTCAAGTCACTATTTGACTTTTTCTTGGCGTTAATAGCAGCGGAAAAAAATTAAAATTAAACCCGATCGATTAGTTTTGTAAAGCTATTTTATGAATCTCGACATAATAGATTATCAAAAGTAGCAATATCTGTCATGTCTTTATAAAATTTGATATTTATTATCAATTATATTATCGAAAAGAAAAGATCTAAATCAAATTCAAATAAAAATATATATATATATATATATATATATGTTAAACTTACAGCTGTAGTATCAATAATAATAACTTTTTCATTTGAATTTCCATTTGTTGAATATGTAACAATAGATTTATTAATTTGAGTATTACTACTTGTACATAAATCTTTATTTGAATAGATTGTTGTTGATATACTACTATTCATTGTATTAAAAGTTTTTCGATTACTTCGATCACTTGTATTAAATTCAGTTGATAATGATGAACGTCGTCGAATTGGTTCATCATTTGTTAATGTTGTTGTTGTTGTAACTAAACTATCGGACGTACGTTTAATAAGTCCAGATGTTTGTTGTTCAGATTGAAGAGTCTTTTTATTATTATTAATTGCATTAATATTAACAATCATTTCATTATTAATATTTGTATTTATATTTTGTTGAACTGATAATGAACGAATTTGATCAACTAGAGTTGAACTAACTGGCACATTAAATGATGATTGTTGAGCATGTGCTGTTGTTGCTGATGATATTGTACGTCGTTCAGCAAGTTGAATAGCTTCATTTGTACCTGATGCATTTCCAAAACAATGAGCAAGAAAAAATGTATAAGCTCTATTTAATAATAACAAAAATAAAAAAAGAATAATAAGTGGAAATTTGTCTTCTTTTGTTTTTAAAAAAAATGCATACCGTTGAAAAAAGGTTGATAATTTTTGTTTAATTAAATCCCATGCAAGTTCACCACCGATAATATCATTTATTGGTTGACTTGTTGATGAATAAGATGTTATTAAAGGTGATACGAATATTGGATAACCTATTTTTTTATAAATAAATAAAAAACAAACAATGTTTTTTTTTTGAAGTAATCAATAAATAATTACCAATCGGTTGATCTGATGATGAATTAATCATATTTCGAAGAACTTGTTTAGCATTTTGAATTGAACCACGTTCAGGATTACGATTACGTAAAAATATTAATTCATGTTGTTGTGATGCCCAAAAACCTCGTACACATTCTTTAGAAACTTTAACAATACGAAATGATAAATGACGACGATCCAACATAACTATTCGATATTCATCAATACTTTCAACAAGTGCTCGTCTTAAAATATTATATTAAATATAGACATAAAAAAGAAAATCTTCAATAGATTAAAATTTTACCTTAATGCTAATAATGATGGTTTATTTGATAAAATTGCATTTCGCCATTCAGGTGATGCTTCATGAGTTATTACAAGATTAGCTTCATTTTGAGCTAAATATAATTATTGAAAATAAATAATGAGATCGAGACATCATATTTATTTTAATGCTTATCAATATAGTTATTCATTTTTTTCTGTCTTAGAAAAAATTGTTTGGTAAGGACTAACGAAGAAAGATCCAATATCCTGTTGGTAAAAACAAGATTATCGATGTTTTTGAGGGATGGGACGAGTAGAGTCCGTCGGGTCTGAAATTTTTCTGTCAACCGTGTTCGGATCCGAAAACTTTGGACCCGATGGGCTTTACTCTACAGATTTCTCAGATAAAACTCGTCTGAGAAATGCGTAGGATGCACTATTCACCGAATACAAAAAAAACCAAAAAAAAGGTATCTCGTATCTTCGAAGCGGCTATTCTATTCCGATTAGAAAATTTCATTGAAATTATCAAAGTACAATTCGGGCGGATTCAAAAATTTTGAACCCGATCTCTGCCACAACAGACAATCTGTCACTGAACCCTCCATACCCTACTCTTATTCACCTCTCAGGGAAATTGTCTGCTTATTTTTATTTTACTTTCTGCTAGAGAACAACAAATGTTGTTTTTAAAATCTGATTTCTTTCCAACGTTACCACAGCAATACAAGCTGTGAAATCGTATGAAATTATTCGAATTACAAAACCATAGGTTTCATAGGAAATAGTTTTATTAAAAAAATTGATTTTCCTTCTGTAACGTCCAGTGAAGCTTTTCTGAGAGCTTACTAAACTCCAATTGAACATATAATATGAGGTTTCACTAACATTGATTGCTGGAAAAAAACCTTATTTTTCGAAATCATTTATTAGTCGTGAACACTTCTCCCTAGCAAAAGGGGTGTTAGAAACATATTGATTGAAAAATAAGACCAACTTTCTTCTAGAAGTATGTAGAGGATTCTTCACCCTTCGCTTAGTATTTTTACACAACTTTGTAGTAAAGACTCTAACAGAAAAACTATTGAATGTCCACAACAAGTTGTTGTCACACTAATCTAAAAGCAAAACTAATGCAAAACTTTTGCACCATACATTAATTTAATAAATTCTTAGCATACAAATAGTTCAAATATATTTATATTATAAATAGGTATTTACTACAGATTTTTCATGTTTCTGATTATAAATTTTTCAATCAAAAAAAGCAATACAGCATTCAATAGGGGAAAAACCTAATAACAAAGACATTAAAAGTTGAGTTTTCTTTATATTTTCAAATACAACAAGATTGGCCATATAGTACAAACATATCAATACGAAATCCAATTTGATGAAAAACATTTTTGCCCGTAAAAGATCAGTATCCATAACATGAGATCTTCAGTTATATGACGAGAGAACTTCATCCAATTTTAAATTGCTTTAAGATGAGTTTCATCTTATTAGGTAGATTCTCTTGAGATTAGACAAAGATGTGAAGAATTTTCGCTCATGGATCTTTCTTTGAGATTTGTAAGTATTTTAGTAAGTTTTTTAACAAACTATCGTATTCTTCCTCGAATGATCTTTCAAAATCAACATTCGATTTTCAAGTTCAAATTTTTCACAAATAAACTTTTCCACAGGACTAGTGTACTCTGAAAATATAAGACTTTCTTATATCTTCAAATACCAATATTGAAAATTCTCTTATGTAAAAAAAACCAAATTGTGTTTTTATATTTATCTGCCAGAATCAAAGAGACGACGAGGTCTGAAAGGAAGAAACCAAGAAAACACAGTAGAAAAAAATATCTGATAAAAAGAAAGAGCACAAATATATATATCGATAATTCTTTTAACAGATTTGTCTTACATAAGTGTCATAACAGTCTGCACGTCTCCGGTCCAATCTTAATCAGACTTATCTGATAATGTCAGAGTCATCTCAAAAAACGATTTATCACTTGTCAAAATTCTGTCGTACGGACAAGTATAAGATATATATATATATATTTCGAGAGAAAGGCGCTTCCATAACAGGACATCTTTCGTTAGGATGAACTTAAACGCAATTATACGATTTTGACCACAGACCTGGATATATATAGGCATGCATAGATATACTTCATCGATCTAAGTTATCAAATTCTATTGCTTACTGTTGACATGTCAACAGTAAGCAATAGAACTTGATAACTTAGATAGTTGAAGTATATCTCTACAAGTAAACATATATTCTGCTCTATAGTCCAAATCGTATAGTCATCTTTTCTATATATCAATTTTTCTATTCTTAATACTTTTATATTTTCTTTCGAAATAATATCTTTTAAATATTTAAAATCTTACCAATATCATCATATAATTTTTCATTATCAAGATATTCTGACATTTCAAGAAATGAATCCTAAAGATAAGAAAAATAAAATTCTTTTAATTATTTTCTATTAAAAATATTACTTGATTAAGTTTTAATGACATTCGAACACCTTGTGCAACAACATTTTTTAATAAAGACATATCAGCAAATGCCCATTCATCTTTATGTGCAAGACGAAAATCACCTTTAAATAATGAATAAAATCCATGAACAAAATTTTCATGATAAATTTCAAGTAAAACTGTATGACTACAAAGAAAAAATAAATAGCAAATTTTCTCAAAAAAGATAATCTTATCTCTTACTGTGAAGGTAATGAACTAAATAAAGTTCGACGTGCAAGTAATGAAAGAATAAAACAAAATGTTATTAAATCATCTTCTTGTATTGATGATAAAGGCTATTAAAATATATAAAAAAAAAAAGATTTTTATTTAAATAAAAAAATTTAACCAAAAAAAACCTTTACTATTTGTCTTTTATTATTACATAAATTAATCCATGATCCATAAACAAATGTAAATGTTTTTTTTGTTACACCACCAGCTCCAACTTTAAAATCATCATCAAATAAAGTTGTAAATGATGGATCAACATCAACTTGATCAGGATCGATAAATTGCATCATAGCTTGTCGAATTTGTTCATTTTCAAGCCAATTAACAAGTTGATCTGAACGAATAGCATAAAAAATAACTGCCTAGAAAATTTTCAAAATCAAACAAAATAAAAAGAAAAAAAAGAAGAAAAATATTATACTTTAATCATTAATGATATAAGTCGTTTACGTAAATCATAACCAACAACAGTTTCATTAAATTTATTTTCTTTTATACTATAACCATCAACAACAAATTTTAAACAAATAACTTCCCAAGCAAGCCATCGTTGTGTAAATGCAGCATTAAGTGAAAGCATATGAGGAAAACGACCGGCTTCACAACAACATAAACCACGATTTTTATCTATATCTTCTGTTATTGCTTCAACTTCACGTTGTTGACAATATGTACCTTATTAAAAAATAAATAAATATTAACTAAATTAGAAAACAAAAAAAAAAGAAGAAATTGTTTATTCTAATTACCTTTAAATTCTAAACCACGAAGTTGAAATGTTATAAAACCATTACCAATTTCAATAAGATGAATCATACAATTTAAACTATCACTTGTTAATATAAAAAAATCGCCTGTATTCACTTTGCCGAGACCTAAAAATATTTTAAACTCCTTATAATCGGCATTTTCCTAGCATCAAATTAGTTAATCTTATTTCGAATAGTTTGTGCAACTTACTGTATGTTTTTCAAAGAAAAATATAATGAATGTAAGTTTCAAGTCGAGATTTTGCGACTGCCTCCCTCCATAGAAACGAATGATCATCTGGTACGTTTTCATAGCCACCGAAGACAACAGTAGGTAGACTCCTTCCCTAGGAAAAAGGTGCTGAGCGGCATTAACAACAAGACTTACAAGAGGACCTTCCCAACTTGAAAACTGTTTTTTAGTTCGGACTCTGTGCATTCAGTAGACTTTATTGGGGTACTGAAAGCTTCAAAAGGATAATAGCTCCTAGGTCTTCTCTAAGAAGTTACAGCCATTTTTGCTGAAATTTTAGCCGATAGATAGACTGGCTTGTAACTAGAATGTCCAGAAAATTTCAGCTCAAAAGAATGTTCCCTTTACAAGATATTGAGTTCCCAAAAAAAGCATGAGACTCGAATATTTCATAAAATATGAGTGATTTTTGGGAATTCAATATCTCGTAAAGGGAACATTCTTTTGAGCTGAAATTTTCAGGACATTATAGTTACAATCAGATCTATCTATAGGCTATGATTTCAGTAAAATAGCCCTAACTGTGTAGGGAAAGTCTAGGCGTCCTTATCCTTTTGAAGTTTTTAATACCTCATTGGAGTTTGCTTTATGCATCGAGTTCGAGCATAAAAGCGATTTTCCTGTTAAGAAGATACCCTCATTAGACTATTCTAGAACATTCTAAAGCCTTTCTCGAAATTCAAATGACTGGAATACGTTTGTGAATGCTCTAAATACTGTAGTTTTCAATTTGTCTGCAGATAAAAATATATATTCAACATGCCAAGGATAAATGCGACAGATCGTTTCTCTGATGATCGATTATCCTTGGAAAACAACTATAGACTATACTAGGGGTTTTCACTTAAAATATTTTACATCCGTATAATGAAGCTAAAGAACATATGTGAGTTTCACATTTTAGTTCCATAAGAGCTGTACTGACAGGTTTTTCCATAAATTTTTCTATTTTATTAAATGATTTTTTATTCAAATTTTTTCAATACATACGTCCAAGTTGAATTTCTCCACAAAGTGATGTTTGTAAAACACGTGTAAGATGTTCATAAAAAATTGCGTTTAAATTATTATCATCAAGACCACAATGAAATTCATTGATTTGTGCTTGTAATTGAACATTTGTATTATCAATACGTTTTGTATTATAATTTTTTTCCCAAAATTTTATTGAACGAGGATAAGATGATATAAATGCAGCACTACCTAATAATGGCATTAATGGAGAATTTAATAAAGCTGACATTAAACATTGAACAACAAGAATAGCTGAATCTAAATTAAAATAAAAACAAAATAAAACATTAATCTTTAAGTACTAGACAATAAATATTTATTGTTTACGTGGTATACAAAATGGTTGAGCAATAGCATGAAATGCTGAACCCCATGATATTTGCCATGGAGCACAATAAACAAAAATAAAATTTACTTTTTCTTTGAAATCAATTAACTAAATAAAAAATTTTAAGAAAATTTCTTTATTTACTTTTTCAAAGTTACTTTTTCAGTTAATGTTGATAAAATAAAATAATTAAGTAGAAATGTTTCCGAACGATTAGATGGCATTATATATGTCATAATTGTTGTTAATAATACATATAGAAAATGTCTTGAAGAATTACAGTAACCAATACGAAGCATTTTCATTGAACATAATGTTAATATTAATATTGATGGTCTAAATAATAAAAATAATTTAGAGCACAGAATATACCTTTGAACTGTATCAAAAGAAAGACATAATTCTGAAGTGTCAGCCCTCACTCTCATCTAGTCTCCAACACTAAGTATCGTTCTCACTCTCACTTTCAACCAAGTTCCTACTCTCAGCTTAATTCCCATTGTTTTATAATAAGATGTACAATAGGATTTATAAAAAAAAATAAATGCTGGAAACTGTTGTTCAAAATCTAATGATTTCAGAATATATGTTGAGAACATTTCCAATAAATTCTATGGTATTACTAGTGATGAACGGAATCAATCGTTTTAGTTGACGTTCTGGTCAGAAAAAAAAGATTTGGTCCCAGTGTCGATCAGAAAAAAATTTGGATCTAATTCCGATTTCACCGGGGGACATCTTGCCCATATCTTGTTATTACGCTTCATCTACCGATTCAAGAGTCCTTCGCTCTAATTAATTAAGTATAATTATCTATCGATTACTTCTCTTTCGATAGACCTTGCCTTCTATCTATAATGTTGCTTAGATTATGCTTTATTAATCTTAATAGTTATCACAGAGATGTCCATGAGGCCGCTGTCGCGATGGACATTTATGAGTTATCATATTTCTTTAATATTTCAAAAGATTATTTGTTTTTTTTCCCTATAATTCACTTACAATAGACCAAATTTATTAATAACAATTGGTGCCGAATGTGAAAGTGCACCGAGATATGTACATGGTAAAAGAATATTTTTTTCAATAAAAACAATCCATACAAATAATTTTTCAATAAATAAAACTTTTGTTGCTTCTAAAATATTAAACATACAAAATAAAGAAGAAAAGATGAAGTCAACTATTCTTAATCTAATTTTTTTTTCTCTACCTGTCGGTTCAAATAATGCATAATCTGCTTGTTTAATAAGCGGTTCACTAAATAATAACCATGGTAATTGTTTACGAAGTTGTGGTAATATATAATGAAATAGAATACCGAAAACAATAACTATTGAACATATTATATAATTAAGTATTGGCTAAATAATATGAATAGGAAAATTAAACATTAGATTAAAGAAAATATTTTAACATACTTGAAGACTTGTAAATGTTGTTGAAGCATGTGCAGCAAAACCAAGAATAGATATAAAAAAACAAAGAAGAATATCTGACTGTAAACGTTGTTTTACAATTGTTTTTAATTTATCTGGCAATGGATCTTGTATATCTTCATTTTGAATTAATATTCGTTTTATTTTTAATAAATCATATTTAATTATATGCCACAAAACATTTGGATTACTTGAACCACGACTTAATTTATAACAAATACTAATTGTTAAACCACAATATATTGAAAATAATATATTTTGCATATGATCCTACGTAAATAAATAAAAAAAAAGAAGGAATTAGTATTTATTAAAATATTATTTTATTTTGACAAAAAAAAGTAATATCATTTACTTTTGATGTATCAATTAATAATCCATAATATCCAATAATTGATAGAAAAATAAAATTAATTATTGATAATATAAAACTATATAAAGCTCCTGGTATATTAATCATAGCTGTACCACCAAATAAATGCATATCAAAATTTTCAAGTATACAAAGAAAAAATGTTGAACATTGTGGTAATAAACCAAATAAAAATAATATTGGCAAACATAATAATATTATTGATAGAATATTATAAATCATATTACATACGATTATATTTGAAAATGTTATTCCAAATAATATAAAATGCCATGAATACATTTTTAATTTATATATTAATAATAATAAACTTGAAAATGAACAAAAATATATTGCACGACTTATTGCTGTATTACGATTAAAACCCTATAGAAAAAGAATACAAAAAAAAATATTCAATATAAGATTGAAACATAAAGAAATTTATACATGAACAGGTGTATTCACATCTGGTTGACAACTTTTTAATAAAGAATATTGAGATGCAGCAACAACACAGCAATAAACCAGAATTTCTAAGTCATAATAAATATCATTGTAAAGAACATGTATACCAACTATTGAAACAATAATAGCCAAGATTATACATAAAATACATTCAGCTATTGATCGATCTCTATTAAACAAAAGAAAATTCAAGTCAAAAGTAATCATCGTCCTTTTTTATTTAGGTGTTCAGGTTTTTCTTTCTATTGGATGAGTAATTTGCAACTCTCCGATTTAGAACCGAATGTCTGACGAGAGAACCTTCCCAATATGGATAATCGCTTTTGACTTCGGACGCTGTGCATTAAGTAGAATCCAATGATGTACTGAAACCTCCAAAACAATAAGGGCCCTAGGCTTTTCCTACAAAATTGTAGCCGCTTTACTAAAATTTTAGCCGATGGTATGGTGATACAAAAGAATCCAATGACAATGTTTGGACCTTAAATTTTGCCTATAGATAGACCTAGTTGTAACTAGAATATCTTGAAAGATTTCAGCTCAAGAGAATGTTCTCTTCTTGAGATAGTGAATTTCCAAAAAACATCGGACTCTCGAATCTTTTCGTGAAATATGCGTGATTTTTGGGAATTCGATATCTCGTGAAGCGAACTTTCTTTTGAGCTGAAAATTCTAGGACATGCTAACTACAAGTCGGCTTGTCTATAGGCTAAAATTTCAGTAAAACGGCTATAACTTTGTAGGGGAAGCCTAGGAACTCACCCCTTTTGGGATTTTTAATACCTTCTCGGAACCTACCAGTCCGAGTTCAAAAGCAATTTCCAACTTTACAAGGTTCTCTTATGAAGTACAAGAAGTTCAATGAAATGGATCCTTCGTTATTCATAAAAAGAAGATTTTAGAAAAATTCGTGCCGGGCTATTACGTTTCGGCAACAAAAAGAAATATTAATTGCAATCTACTACAGTAAGAAATGTGTCGAAGTGATGGTTAGAGTTTATTATTCTGAGTGAATTGTCGAACATCGTATCAATTGTAAACGAAATGACGCATGTAAAAATTAAGAATTTGAAAACCTGTTGACTTTTAGAAACATTGCATAAAATAATTTTCCCAAGATCGAAAACAAAAACTTATTCTGTACAAGTTTAAAGTATGTTTACGAATAAGGATGTGCAGTTTCAGTTTACTGATCACTGACGTTATTGACTCAGTGTAGTTAGTGCACATTGTCATCAGAATTCACTAAAGCATTGAAACAGACCGCTGAAAAAAGGACCTATGTTGATAGAGATGATACTTCCATATCGCAGCGAACGCAGATGTCAATGCTTCAGTGGAATCTTCTTTGATGACTCACTGTTCAGTATCTAAACAAACACTACACATTCCTATACATGGAAAAAGAGCAATGTTTCATTCTGTTATTGACTTTTCTGTCGTTCTCTATAGAAAACAGTGATAAACGGGAATATGCATCACAACTAGAGATATACGGGACGAAGTTTTTTCAGTCCTAATTTCATTCCGATCCCGGTAAATCTGATCTGATGCCAATCTAGAGAAAACTATTTGAAAATCTAAAAAAATTCTCAAATACTCGTTTTCTTATGGATTTAGTCGATGACTAATACTTTATTTTCATCTGGTTTGATTGATATGATTTATAAGATAATATTCTTAAAACTAAAAAATATTTAACTATAATCTTTATTTCCGATTCGGACAATTGTTTTTCTCGTAGTCTAGGTCCTGGTATCAGTAACTTCTAGCTCCTGTGGTTCCAGTTATCAGCGCTAGAGACGAAAATTATTCTCCGCACATCTCTGATCACAACCTTTTAGATAAAAATTCCATTTCGATACTTGTTAATAAGTTTGTTTTGCAAAGATAACTTTTAGAAAAAAAATCGAATTAATGATTTCTATACCTATCGAAAACAGTTAATAACCAAAGACGATCAAATGGAACAATAATATTTCTATTAAATAATTTTAATCGATAAGTTTGTCCTTTTATTGATCGATGTTTAATTCTTGTTTGATGTTCACGTTGTTGTGTTTGCTGTTCTTGTGTTGTAACATCAATACTACTCGATATTTGTCGTCGTGTTTCATCAGTTATAATAACAGGTCGTCCCGATGTTGATGAAGCAATCAATAAAAAGAGAAAAACAAAAAATATATAATTATACTTTTTGTCGAAATATTTATCTTACTTCATATCGTCTTAATCGATGTGGTTGTCGATGATGATGATGACGACGACGACGACCACCACCAAAAAATGAACAAGATTCATGATTTTGTTGAACTGTTGTTGATGGTGTTTGTGGAGGTGTTATTTGTTCTCTTGGTATTTGTTCAACCGTTGCCTCAGTTACATCACTAATACTTCGTGTGATTATATCACTAATAAAAACCAAAAAGAAAAATATTTCAGAAAAAAAATCGAATCTTTATGTCAGAAAAATAAAAACCTTAACGGTTTTGGATCTGATGTTTCCATACGTGCTTGACATGATGTATCACCAAAAACATAGGAAAAAAGTTTTCCTAAAATCAAAAAAAAACCAAAAATACGCATTTCATAAATTAAATGAAATGAAAAATAGTTTCCAAACCATTTTCATCACGAAAATAATGTACAGTTCCCGGACTTGTTTCATTATGCCATTCAACTTCATCAATAATTTGTGATGATGAATCTTGATCATATTGACTATAAACAATAGAAAAATAAAAACAAAAAGAAAACTAACTAGTATAAAATACTTTTGTCGATAAACAGGTATCCAACGAGGTCGTTCAGTTGTACGTACTAATAATTGTGATGATTCTTCAGATGGTGTTGTTGTTAATGAATCATCACGTAGACTAGTTTCATCACGTAAAGCTACAAAAAAAGAAATTTAATCATAAATAAAATTTAATTATTTAAAATTTACAATCATAATTTGATGTTCGTTCATCAAAACAAGTTTCTAAAATAAAAATTATGTTTTATATATAAAAAATTGTTAGAGCAATCCATGTAAAATTAAAATGTTAAACACGATACAGCTGCTGTTGCTAATCACAGGGAGGTTACGTTATTCTCTCTCTTTTGGAACACATTTCATCACTATCATTTAACTTAATCGTCGAGAAATGCTGCGGTCTGCGATGGTCCTTGATTAGCGCCTGTTATGGTCTGAAGGAATGTCTAATTTTTTACCTCTATGCTTCAATACTCCTCTTTAGATAGATTTCACAAAAAATAAATAAATAATACCTTTCATTAGACAAGCTGAACGTCGATATGATGATGATGGTGATAGATGATGATTTGAAATATGTTCACCATTAAAATATAATTGACGTTGATCAACAGCTAAATAAGAGAAATAGAATCAAATGATTTTTTATTTTTTATTTTTTGATAAAATTAATTTACATGTTGCACGACGTGATGTTCGACGTCTTCGTCGACCTTGACTTGAATGTGTACGACGAAAACGAGTTGGAATATTTGATTCATCTTGATTATCATTTTGTTGTTCATTTAATTTTGATGAATATCGATGATCATTAGAATAAGATCTGTTATTAGGTAATAATGGTTCAAGTGATTCAGGTTGTTCAGTAATCATATCAGATGTTTCATCATCATCAGCAAAAACATTTTCAAGAATTTGTAAAATTGGACGCCAATCATCTATTGGAACATCAACAGTTGAACATACTTCCGTATGAGTTTCCTATTTAAAAATATATATTAAAAAATTTTCTTTCTTGTAAACAAAAATATTTTAGTAGGATCTGTTCTAGTTTCATCAAAGTTGATGATGACTTCATCTCAACATGTTTCTTTTTTGACTTAAGGACTTCGGTTTTATTCATGTTCAACTTGTTCCGAGATTGTTTTTTTCATGTGCCGAAAAGTTTTGTCTTACATAGATGAATACTTATCAACTGCTAACTAGAGTTCTCGATTAGGAGGGATGCAACAGTATACCGGCAATAGTGCGAACTTACATACCACATGAGTGTTTACTAAAAAAAAATAAATCGAGTTTTGGATAAACAAGTTTTGCTTATTTATATATGGATGATATTTGTACAGGTTATTTACTGATGTATTTTTTTTTATTACGACATTAAAAAATATTTAACTTTCATTAATAGTCTTATCTAATAAAACTGAAAATCATACCGATTTATTTTCAAGAATTTGTTCATTTTTTTCTATAGTTAATGAATTTTCTTGATTATGAATTGTTCGAATTTTATTAAGATTACTTTCCATAGATTTCGATTTTTTATTTAAACGATTATTATCATTTATTGAAGATAATTCAATTATATTTGATTGTATTAAATCATTATTATTTAATATAATATTAAAATCTGATTGTACACGACGAATAGAATTTTTTTCTTGATAAACTTTTATTGGTTTTTGTTCATGTTTTTGGCATAATTTTGAATCTGATACACATGTATCTTGAAGACTAGGTCCTTGTAAAATAACATCTGTTAAAGAATATTTTGGTATTTCATTTATTTGATTGTTAGATTTTTGTATTAGAACTGGTGGTGAACATACTAATGTTGATATATGACAATCATGTGTTGTTGTAACAGTTGATTGTGGTATATGAGTACATGATTCATCATACATAGATGGTAAATTGCTATTATTACTACCATATAAAGAATCAATCCATAATGGTCTATAGAAATTTAGAACGCAGAAAAAATATTTCTTAAGATCTATAAAACAAAAAAATTTACTGTGTTTCTGATAAAGGTGCATCAATTGTTGTATGTTGATTGAGTAATTTATGTTCTTCTTCAATATCATCAGTGATATTTGTTGTAGATTTTTTATTATCAACAATTGTATCATCACATCTTACAGCCAAATCAAAAAATTTATGTAAACGATAATTAAGGAATTTTATGATAGAAAATAATATTCCTATTATTAATGGATAAATATAAAACGATAACAGACTAATTGGTGTAAACTAAAAAAAAAACAAATATATATATTTTAAGAGAGCTTCGCATCGTCTTTCTTTGAAAAATTAGTTAACGCCAACTTTTTACCACTATCATACCCTTATGAAAAAAAAGCCAACGAAAAATCCCATGTAAAAATTATGCTCGTTTACATTGAGAATTAAAAACTACACAAAATTGGCTATTTTAACATAACAAGTGGCCCATAAAGAATAAGTGTCTCCGTATTTATCTATTTTTCATAGATTCAAACTGAGCGTTTTTTCAAAAGATTCAGCATTTGATTTTTACAAATTGTTGTCACAGAGATAAAAATATAAAGTACAGTTTGCTTTGTATTTGTGTATCCTCGCATCGAACTAAACAGAAAAATTTTACTATCCATTTTGTAGAGCTTCAAAAGCTCTATGTTATTACTATGTTCAAGAATTTTCATAACGACATCTTATCGCATAAAATAAGAGCTAAATAAATGTTATTTAAAAACAAGTAACGCTTATTTTATTCAATTAGATTTCGTTATGAAAATTCTTGAACGTAGTAATAATACAGACCTCTTGACGCTCTACAAAATGAATTGTACAATTTGTCAATATACCTCGACGTGAGAACACATAAATACAAGAGAACTGTATTTTGTACTTTTATCTCTGTGACATTTATTTGTACGTTGTTTTGTAGAGAATTAAACGTTGAATCTTTTGAAAAATAAAATTCAGTTCGAATCTATGAAAACTAGAGAAGATATTGAGAAAATACAGAGACCTTCATTCTGTATAGGCCATCAGTTAATTCAGTGTTGACCGACTCCAACTTTATAAAGTCAACATGAATGAAAAATGGCTCATTCGATAAATCTCAGATTTCCACTTTATAACAATCTATCTCCTATTTGGATTCAAAATCAGAGAGTACCAAGCTGAATGTTATACAACTTTTTATTCTCTACAAAACAGTATGTTCGAAACGAAACGAGATTCACATCTCTCTACTATATAGTGATTTCTCAATCGAAAAAAAGCATTTTTAGAAGCTTTCATTGATATCAAACGATTGTAAAGCAAAATAAATGTCATATTCGAAATCATCGTCAAAAACTATTAAATAAAATATATTTTGAAAGAAATTTTTTTCCTGCGAAAAAAATCACCAGTGATCCTCTTCATGGATTAGTATTTCACAGAAAAACAATTCTCTAAATGTATTTTATTCAATGTAGGTTTTGACGTTAATTCTCAATATCACATTTGTTTTGTTTTTTTCAATAGTTTCATGCCAACGAAAATTTTTAAATATGTTTTTTTTTTCTATTGTAAAATCATTATATAGGAGAGATGTGTTAACTCTGTTTCGCTCCTGAACATGCCATTTTGTAGAGAATAAAAAGTTGTATAACATATATAACATGCAGCTTGGTACTCTCTGATTCTGAAAGGAGATAGATTGTTATAAAGTGAATATTTGAGACTTATCAAAAAAATCTTTTTTATTCATGTTGAGATTATATTATATTGAACTAGCTCATCTTGTTCAGTTTTGACTTTTCTATCTTTTAGTATAGTTTATAAAAAATTTAAATGATTCATTGAAACGAGAACAGGCACAAGTTTTACAAAGGATTTTGTTTTCTTCATAACGGTATAATAGTAAGAAAAAGTCAGTATTGACTAATTTTTCAAAGACTATTGAATGCTAAAACTCTGCAGTTGGTGGTTTCAGACATCAATGCACTGAATACACAAAAAAAAGGAATTTTCTTTTGATCAAGTGCCCCATATACTCTATGGTGTCATGATTCTTCTCTTAATAAATCTGTTAGAAATAAAATGAAGAACATACGAGATATAAAAGAAGTGGAAGAATCATAAAACAGATCCATAAATAAATATGTACAGTATTAGCCAATGGTGTAGTATATAGATCATAATAAAAACCACCAGTTATTGCCGGAATAATTCCATGTAGTAAAATATCAAGACAAAAAACAGTCATTGTTTATTGTTTATAGTAAAGAAAAAAATAAATTCATCTAAAAGTTCTTTTTTTTGAAAAGAAATATATTTAATCAATTCATAAATATTTCTTTCTCATTAACGAAAAATTAATTTTTTTTTATGATGAATTCAGGAAAATTTTCGTAAACTATTAATACTAAAATGTAAATCTCATATGAAATTAATTAGACGAGAGAGAATACAAACTTCCTCAAATATATGAATCATAAATTAATCTATATTCTTCCAAAAATTACAAATAGGATCATAGCTGTTACTGTCAACTATAGATATCTCAATCCATCACTGTCATTGATAGTCAAAAAACAATAAGAAACCAAGATCAACTTACATTTAAATCGTTGAAGTCTCAAAAAAGAAAATAAACGTCATTATTTACGCTTTTTTTAAAATCTAAATCGTAGAATGAAGGATTCTGAAAGTGGTATAAAGAAATATTCAAATCAAAATTATATAACATAAAGTGCAACATAAGTAATTTCTGAGGTAATATTTCACATTTTGAAAAAAATGAAGTAAAAGAATGATTACAAATGTAATAATAGGTTATGATAAAGTATGATGGTTGTAGAAACAGTGTATAAGGAAAAAAACCTTGTAGGCATTAAAACGTACTTATTGTTGCCTGTCTACTAGCAAAATCACTTCCTGGAGCACAGAAAAAAAAGATTTTTATTATAGTTTTTGAACATTAATCTTTTAAAATGTAGTTCTATAGATTTATCTTATAATAAATTTAAAAATCAGACGTTAAAGCATTGTTCTATCACATAAAACGATAGATTTTGTTAAATGATTTCTAGTATAATGATATCAATTTTTATCACTATCATCTAATAGAAAAGAAAAAAATTAAACTAAAATCGAGGTTTTTTTTCTGACATTTAGCTGATTGATTGTCTATACACATGAACAGCGTTTCGTAACAAGTTCCTATCAAAGAAATAAAACTCTAAAAGACAAAAATAAAATACATATTAAAATTTATCCCATGAATAAAAAGCCAAGCTTATTTTATCTGAATTAACTTTCAATGTTAATCAGACAGATACTTCATTTATTTAAACGTTTATCATTCGAATCATGATCTTCATCCATCGTCAGCGTTCATTTAATATGACGTTTTGTATTTTTTCTCTTCGGTGTTTGATTGTTTTTCTTATTATTTAACAAAGTAATGTTTCCAAATCATCATTATAAAAAATAATATAATTTCTTTAAGCCATTCTAAAATATTCAAGAAAAAAAAATGTTTTTTTAGTTTTTGAGATTCATCTTTTTTATTAGCAAATTGAAAAAAGAAAGAAAGAAAAGATTATATACTTATATCTTAATGGCAAATAAACTCCTGATCATATAAAAAAAAATTTACGATAAAAAAAATACAATACAAGTAAGAAAATGAAATTCTAAATTAGTTGATTATTATATACAAAAAAAAAAAATACTCGCATATATAGAATAACTGTGAGCGCACTCAAATCTACATTACTGAGCAATAGTAAATACAAAAGAAAAAAGAAATTTATAAAATCCATTCTTTTGGTTCAGTTAAATCTGGATGACGTGAATCACCTTTTAGTATTGCTGTATCAGCATCAACTGCTTGATCAGCACCTTTATCTTCTTTTGTTTTATAGTGTCCACTCTTACTTGATTTTTGATAACATACTGCAAGCCCAACAAGAATAAGTAATAAAAGAAAACCCATTGAACCAATAATAAGACCTAGATTTCTTGCGTAAACATATTGCTTATAAATTGGACGTGGTAATGCTTAAGAAAAGATTTTAAAAATTATTTCATTATTAAAAGAAAAAAAAAATCTAACGAACCAAGTATACTAAATCCACGATCAGGTGGAATTTCTAAAGGTTCAGGTGGATATTTTACAGGTTCTGTACCACATGGCCATTCTCTAATTATTAATAAATAATTTTAGTCTTCTGTTTTATTTATATCTATTTTAATTTACCGAATATCTCCACCACTCCATGTTATATTTGGATCACGTTCTTCCAAAAAAGCATATTTTAATGGAAATATTCGATTAAATTGTAATCGAGAAATACAACCAGTAAAGCCTTCTTCAGGTGGTGTTGTTTCATTTCTTCCAATATACATAACACGTGGACTATCAAATTGCATATCAATTTGTTGTGTTTGAGGGAATACATCAATATATGGTTCGTAATTATCAACGCTAACTATAATAAGTTTACCTTGATTACGGCGCGTTACGATAATTTCATGATTTTGTCCATTTGTTAAATCATATGGAACATTATATTCAAATGTATCAAAACCATAATTAAATTTAACACGTACACCACCATTATTATTCATTTCCAATGTAAAATAATCAATCATACCTTTTTCATCAATTCTATCAGATTTTAATTGCATTAATATACCTTGTTTTTTATAAGTTGTAAATAATACACGAATTGTTTCTTCTTCAGTTGCAGTAACACCTTAACAATTATCAATAGTTTTGTGCAAAGAAAAAAAAAATATTTTTAAAAATAAACATGTATGTTTACCTTGCGTAGGAAATGTATATTTAATCATTGTATTTGCTTCTAATCGTGTACCAATTTCTGTTGAACAAATAGGTCCACGAAATGGTGTAAATGTGCAATCACAATCATATGTTGACCAACGTTCATTACATCGTCCGCCATTCAAACATGGATTACTTTGACATTTTCCAATACAATCTGGTGATATACCATACATACCACGTAATGCTTGTGATTTTAAATCCATTAATTGTCCATTAACTTGAAATGCACGTATACATCCAACAAAACCATTTCGATTTGTAACAGATGCACCAATTGTTAAATTTGATGTTAAATGTATATGACGAAATGTTGTTTGATCTTCTGGATTAGCAGCTGATAAATCATCAACTGTTAATCTTGCTTCTTGTCGATTTATTTCAATATGTACAGTATGCCAATCATTATCATTAAAATCATATGGTGCACGAATTGTTATTATATTTGTACCACGACCAACACTATAGCGAAATGCTATTTCACGTGGTGCTTGAAGACGAATCTTAAAAATAAGAAAAGGATTATTTTAAATAAATAATTGGAAAAAAACAACGTTTACTTCAATAAGATCTCCATCATCATATCCAATATTTTGTACAATAATAGCTGAACCAAATGTAGCTGAATCAAAACCAGTTTTAAATTGAAAACGTATATCACCAGCTACTTTAGCTTCAAATGGTGGTACTGTTATAATTGCATCAGCTTTTCGAAACGTAATTGTATTATCATAAAGTAAATCACCTTCACAATAAAGACGACCAACTTGATATCGACCATATTGTGATGATCCAACTGGTCCTTTAAAACAAGAAAACAATATTAGTTTGCAAAAAAAAAATTTTTTTTTTTCGATTAAACCTGTATCACCAAATTCAACTCGCAGAACAGGTAAATATTCTTTTCGTGTTAAATATCCTGCATCTTTAAGTTCAGTTGTAAATTGTGAATCACAATTACAAAATAAATTTGGATTAGCACATGTCATATCTAAACCACAAGAACATTTTCCGGTACCTATTTCACTACCACCCCAATAATCCATTGTTTGATTTGTACGACCAACCCACCAACCATATGGTGAATTTGGATAATTTAATAAACGTGAATTAAAACATGTATATTCAATATATTGTCTACATACATATGAACGATCAATAAGATTAAATAATTGTAATAATGGTACATGATAATTTATTGTTTGAGAATAAAGTGAATTAGGTAATTGATAACCACTGGATACATAACTTTCTAATTCATGATAATGACCTATTTCCGTTACATTAAGAATTTCTGTCTTAGCACCATAACGACATAAAACTGGAAATGGTGCTAATGGACCACTACCATCAATATCAATTATTGTTATACGTTCAGGAATAATTTCATCAATTTTCATACGATTTAATTTATAATCAAGACATGATAATGGCATATCACTAACATGACAAACAGCACCACTATAACCTGTTTTGGAACAATCACAATAAAATCTTGTCCATGTCTAATGAAAAGAACAAAAAAGCAGCATTTTCTTGGCATATTTCAATTGAAGTTTGGTAGCTCCAAAAATCTAGAACGCGAACCAGTAAATCATCAGATAGATAAAAAAATTCTTAAAATATATTTAAAATTTTCCTATCTGTCTGATGATTTAATGATTTTGGTTCCATGTGTTATTTTAGGAGCCGAACCGGAACCGCTTTTTTTCTCTTGTGTTAGTAACTGGAGACGGAACTGCAATTCTAGTTCCCGATAATTTCTGCAACCGTCGAACTCCGACTTCAATTAGTACAATTATTAATGGATAAATTAAGTTTGTATCTGCGAAGTTATGGACCTTTATATATATATATATATAAGATCTGCTTTAATAGAAAGCTGTTTATAAACGCTTGAATCTTTACTTAATTTATCCATTGATAATTGTATTAATTGAAATGTCATTGCTATTTATCAGTTCATCGATAAGCATCTGAATGTAACATCGATCTACAAACTACCTCGAGGTTTTAGCATCAGTTTTTCCGCTCAATCATGTATGGAACGTAATCTCACTTCGGGACGCTAATATATATATATTCTAACCATGTCTTTTATGAGTAAATCACTCGAAGTGATTCACTGCTTTTGAGCTGATTTTTTCAAACATATAGAGAAAGTTTTCAGGCTAGAATAACTTTCTATGGATTCAGATTCATTGATCATCTCTGCAGAGTTACAAAAGTTTTATTAGATTTTTAAAATCTCTAGAAAATTTCTGTTGAAATGATTGATTCATTTTAAAAATATTTAACCTTCAAAAGCTCTTGACCTTTTTTGCAATATGATCTTTTTTTTGAACATATTCTTAGAATAATGATTTCTACTCATACACAAAATTTCAAATCACAAATCCATTATTCAATTTTTC